CGTTTCCTTGATTATGTGGAGGCCTTTTGCTGTCGTGCGTATTGCATCAAAAGGCCAAACCGTGGGGCTGGACCATCCATTCATGTAACGTGGCAGAGTCTATGTGCAGCTTGCTCTGCTGGTCCCCTCCGTCCCCTGCAGACATTCGGGCACATCAGTGGCCAGTCGGGCGCCCGGCCGTTTCAACCACCTCCTTCCCCGCCCTCTTCTGCAGTCGTAGAAGTGCATTTTATTCCCCCCCCCCCCAATTAAAGAGGAACTGTCTGTTTAAGAAATAGGTCTCTCTCTTCATATCCAGTTTGAGATAACTGGCTTACTGTACCTGGAGGGGAGAGAAGTGGCCCCTTTTCCCTTCATCTGTGACTAGCATTCTGTATTGAAAGAGACAAAGATAAACCAGCAGCTTCACCGGCTTTTATTAGTTTGAAAAAATCAATCCGCTTTGGTAGATTTCATAAACGTGGTTTGATATTTAACATTTTTGTATCGTGGAATGAAAAATGTTATTTCCATACAGTGAAAAAATTAAAGAATCTTTTTCTTAGGAATCTAACTCTGCTCGTGTTTCTACAGCTGGGCCCTTTTTCCTGCAGCCACATAAACCCTCTGCCTGGAGTGGCCCTTTGCCTAATAAGCAGCTGGCCCGGCTGCAGAAAAGCCCCCACCACCACCACCACCAACAGGGCTCCTCCTGTGGAAGGCTGATCCTGAAAAGGGGGGGAGGGGGGCACGGGAGAAAAAGCCCATCCTCTCTGGTGGCTGCTAGCGGAGGAAATGCAGCTGCTGGTGGTGCCACTGCAGCAGCTGGCACAGCCAAGGGGGGCCACTTTCCTTGGGGAGAAACTGCCTGCAGCTCCTCCCCCGAGTTCCCACTTTCTGCTGCTGCTGCTGCTGCTGGCAGAAGGACCCCTGGGAGCCCTTCCTCCCTTTTCCCTGCCTCTTCCGGAGGCTCTTCTGGAGCTGCTTTTCCCAGGAATCCCTTGACAGGTTTCCTTTTCAGCCTAGATAAACTGTGTTGGAGAGAGAGGAGTTGGTGTTCATTGTGGGGTTATTATTCCCTGGTGGCCTTAGGGGTGCAGGGAGTCCACAAAGGACGGGAATATTTGCTTTTCGGCAGCCCCGCTTAGCAAAAAATTGGGGGGGGGGGGAAGAGTCAGGAAGTTGTCAAAGTCTGAAGTCTGTCTGGTCCTTGGGGAGGAGGTTTCCCTGGTTCAGCAGCTGCCCCAAAAACGCCCACATGGTCCTTGGCCCCAGCTTTGAGATCCAACAAGAACAATAAGGATTTTTAGGAGCATTTAGGTAGCATGGAAAAACACAGCTGCCCCCAAAGTCCCTCATTTTCCCCGTGGAAGGAGCCCTGAATGTGTGGGCCTGCTCCCCCCCCCACAGCTGACTTTCCAGTAGTTCCACCCAAGGGAGGGGTCGGCCCTGTGCAGACGATGCATGCATGAACTCTCCAGCCCCCTCCCCCAATATGGCATGCTGCTCGTGCCCCTTCTGATTCCCATTCAAACAGGGACTCTCCAGCACCTGGCGGGGAGGGGGGGGGGCTCAGTCCCTGCTGCAACTCACAAAGGCCAATTTGCTGGTCTTGCCACCCCCATTTCCCTAAGACTGGGACCTTGAGACGAAGGCTGCAGAAGCGGCAAGTAGGCCTGCAGCTCGTGCAAATGGAGCTGCACACATAATACCCCCCCCCCCACACACACACACATCTGCACAGAAGCCTGATTAGAGCAGAGGGGCTGGGCTGCCCCTCCCCCACTCCCTCCAGCCCCTCCCCTGGGCTGCCCAGCTAGGAGGTTTTCTCCCACGGCCCCTTCCGGGATTCCTAGCCCACGTACCCTCCAAGTGAAGCCTCCCCCCCCCCCCCGTTGTCCTGTGCTGGCCTCCCATCAGCGCCCCAGAGCAGAAGGTGAGGCCAGAAGCGGGACTTTGTGGGCCAGTTGGGTACCAGGCAGCTCATCTCGCCCCCAAAACCCCGACTCTGGATTCCCAGCCTCCCACGGGGAATCCCTCCTGCAAGAGCCCCAGAGCCGCCCCGTACGCGAAGGGAAGAGCGGGCTCGCTTCCACCCGAGGCAGCCCGGACGGCTGTCAGCTCCGGTTCTTCCCAGATGGGAGCCCACCGGCTCCTCCCGCCCGGCGCCGACCCGCAGCCGGCGAGCCCTGCCTCTCCCGGTCCTTTCCCCTCCTGCTGCGGTGGGAATGAAGGGGCTGAATCGGGGCTTCAAGGGAACCAAGCCGAGCATCCTGAGCGCCAGGACCCTCCGCGCCTCCCCGGGTTGTCTTCGCCCAGCCAGAGGGACCCTCGCCCGCCCGCGGAACTCCCGGCCACAAGAGCAGCTAGGCGGCGGCTCCCTCGGGGGAGGGGGCTCCGGCGGGCAGCCGCGCTGGATCCTGGCGGGCCACTCACCGCTGTTTCGCTCGGACTGCGCTCCTCGGCCGCGGGGCAGCCAGTGCCTGGCCGCGGGGAGGCTGGCCGGGAAACTCCCCCCATCCGGCGGCGGCGGCCGCAAGAGATCCCGCGCCCCCGGCAGGACAGCCCCTTGAGGACCAGCCGCTTGGAAAAGGAGGCCTGCTCCTCAGCCCGCGGGGCAGCGACACGGCCGCGTGGATCCACAGACGGGGGGCGGCTGCAGATACAGGCGGCCGCCCGTCCGCTCTGGATGTCTGGAAGCGGGGGGGGGGGTGATCTCCCCAAGAAGAGGACGTGGGCGCCCCCTGACCCGCGTGGGCAGAACGGAAGGCTCTGGGGGTCCTCCTTGAGGTTGCGCAAGAAATAAGTTCCCTTCCTCCTGGAAGCCCCGCGGAGCGAGGAAAGCTCCGTGTCCGCCGCCGGACCGCCCTAAAAATGAGCCCCTCCCATTCCTCCAGTCGTCCCCGCCGGGGAAAGCCAAGGGGTAGCTGGAACTCGCGAGGCACGGACGGGGTTCGAACCCGTGATCTTCGGTTTACGAGACCGACGCCTTACCACTTGGCCACCGCGCCTGCGTTGAACGGGGCGCTTCGCTCCTATCTAGGCTGGCGGCGCTCCCGAGAACCACGCGCTCCGCCCCCGCCCCGCCTGCGTCAGACGCTCCGCCCCGAAAAGTGTTCCGGAAAAGAGTGGGAAGGTCTTCGTGCGCATGCGTCCTCGCCCCGTTGAGCTGGAGTCGACCGCGTAGTGCGCCTTTGCCCGTCGCTCGGGGCTGCCCGGATTCCGCCGCCGCCTCCGCCGCCGCCCCCACGGAAGACT